AAGGGAGAACCGATTACAAGGATCTACATATAACCCCCTCCCTCGGGGACGGACAACAGAAAAGTGGGTGAAGGGAGATGTCTGACAGTGTAAGATATCACAAAATAATAATAATTTGTAAAGTATCAAGGGGTATTGGGGGACGGGGAGGGAGGGGAAAAATGAGGTGCTGATATCACGGGCTCAAGTAGAAAGCATGTTTTGAGAATGATGATGGCAACAAATGTACCGATGTGCTTGACACATGGATGTATGTATGGATTGTGATAAGAGTTGTATGAGCCCCCAGTAAAATGATTAAAGAAAAAAAAGAAAGTGTGCTGTTGCACAAAGGACACATTTCATTATCCCCAATTCATGCAATTAATGCTAATTTTGTTAATTCAAGGAGCCTGCTGGCAGTGTATATTAGTTATTGGAATGCTAAAGTTAGGAATTGGACTGGAGGTCCAATCTGAGGGAGAAAAATGAAGCTTTTGCTTCTGTAAAGATTTACAATTTCAGAAACGCTATGAGTCAGCTCTCTGTGCTATAGAGGTGTTATCAGCTGGCATTGGCCCCATGGCAGTGGAATTTGGGGTTTGTTTTGTTAATTTTTGAATGTCTGTACATTTGTTAAAATTTGGTTGTTAATATTGTTTTTACGGGAGATGAAAATCTTTTTATGTGCTGAAGATTAAATATTTAGAATGTGGAGAGTAATTTTGCTGGTTTTAGATTTACTCTTTGGGTTAGAAGTACATTGGGAAATCACGTGCATTTTTGCTTCTGAAAGTGTGATCCCGATGTTAGGTGCATTCTAGATCTATTTATCTTTTTTTTTTTAAAGACGTACTTTGATTTTTACTATCTTTTGGTAGAAAATAATATAAAAAATTTAAAAATTCTTGTCTATAACCTTTCTTTTTATGTCCATACATATCGATATACCTGTAATTGGACTACATATAATTTTTATACAACTTTTTCATTTACTACATTGTAAATATTATCCAAGTATTTTTGACTGCGGTTTTAATACCTTAATAGTAGTTTACTGAGTTGACATTCAATACTTTACTTAACAATTTCCTTTTGTTGTATGGAAACATCTCTAATCTTTGGCCAATATAGCCAATAATTTGATAAAAAGGAAACCTTAGGTAAGATAAGAATAATAGCATTATTCATATTACAATTTTGCTTGAGGTTTTTTTCTATTTTTTTAGGATGGTAAAGAACAGTTGATAAGGCGTAAGTGCTCCATTCCATACATGAGTTTTAATAAATAGCTCATTTTTCATAAAAGGAAGTTGAATTTATATTTGTTTGTGCTTTTGATTAGCAACATTATTGCCATTTGAAGTGTCATCCCAAACCCTGTTGAGACAAATGTTATTGTTTTGAGAATTTGTAGAACCCAGTTTGCTAGCTTTTAGGCTTATTTTTTTTGTTTTTTAATCATTTTATTGGGGGCTCGTACAATTCTTATCACAATCCATACATCCATCCATTGTGTCAAGCACAATGTACATTTGTTGCCATCATCATTCTCAGAACATTTGCCTTCTACTTGAGCCCTTAATA